GCAGCAGCATTCACGATGGACTGGAGTGGGGATAGCCTGCGATGATGTCGGCCAGTGAGGAGGGAGTTACAGTAGTCAAGGCGTGATATAATAAGGGAGTGAATGAGTTGCTTAGTGGTTTCCGAGGTTAGGAACGGTCATATCTTAGAGATGTTGCGGAGGTGAAGTCTACATGAGTTTGTCAGCATAGAGCAGTGTGACTGTCCTCCTATATGGATCTCTACTCATACAGACTTCAATGCTCCACCATATGAAAGAAAAAGAACCGAGGAAGCAACAAACAGCAAACTAAAAGTTTATTAAAATATTCAACATACAATAATAAAAACCAAAGCACTAGTAATGTAAACAGATGGTCCTGGGACTTAGATGAGCTGCTTCTGGGTGTTGGGATGTGTGCTGATGTCTTGAACTTTGGCTCCGCCCTATGCATTTAATCACTTATGACGTCTTCTGGATCGCCCTGTAGAGTGGAACCAATGTTTGTCATCACATATCCCCAAACTCAGAATTGGGCCCTTTGAGTCCTGGGACTCACTTTTAGTTTTTTGTATATTTGTCAACTTGTATCAGTTGGTATGCTAGCAGCTATACATTCATCATAAAGCACAATTTGCTTTATTATTGAGTTACCTATATTTAAGAGTCCCCAGTAGAGCCCCCCTTATATCAGAGTCTCTATCAGAGTCCTCCCTTATTTCAGGGTCTCCATCATAGTCCACATTACATCAGTATCCTGCCTTACAGGGTCTGGGTGCAGGTTGGAGGGGAGTTGAAGGCATAGAACATTTACATACTCTGCTGATGTTAATCCTCAATCTGTGCACATTGAAGATAAGCCGCTGACCATAGCTGAGTAGCATGTCATAGTTCGGAGACCTTTGATATAAACTCACAATCAGTAGGGCCAGTTTGGGTGGAAGCTGATTATTAGTATGCTGCTATATATGTGTTGCTCCACTTTGCCTTCTGAAGTTGTAAATACATGAAATCAATGGACTTTCAGGAAGGCAGATTAACACTATATAGAATCTTTAAAATTCTGGGTTTTTAAAAAATACAATAAAAGCTGATGTTGCTTTTTTATATACAGGAGCTGCACTGTTTGAACATTAGAACACATGAAAAGGGTCACGTGAGACATAGGTGCTGGGAGCGTGGCGATGTTGGTTTATTGGAGATTGGTAATCCTGCAAATAACACACTTCATGTCCCTGCATGACTACACACTCTACCAGGGGCGGATTGACCATTTGGAAACTCGGGCACTGCCTGAGGGCCCGGGGTCAGTAGGGGGCCCCATGAGATGCCCCTGGTACCTTTTTCATAGGCTTTTTTGTTTGGGCAAGGACACAGGGGCCCCATGATCCCCTATTGCCCGGGGGCCCCATGAGTTGTTAGTTGTCTACTACTGTATGAAGGCAACCTTGGTTGTCGCACAAGCTACATTTCAGAGATTGGGGTCCTAACTTAAGCTCCCTTCAAACTTACCCTCCCTTTAATCCCAAAGTAACCCTCCTTGCAAACACTAACTCTTACTCTAACCCCCCTTCTAACCATAATTCCCTGAAACTCTCACACTAACCATACCTGTAACCCTAAATCTAATTCTCCCTGTAACCCTAACACTAATCCTCCCTGTAACCCTAACACTAATCCTCCCTGTAACCCTAACACTAATCCTCCCTGTAACCATAACACTAATCCTCCCTGTAAACTGCCCTCTAACTATCCATGTAACCCTAACTCTAACCTCCTCGTATCCATATCTCTGCTCCTCCCTGTAACCCTACCTTTAACCCTCCATGTAACCCCAAACCAAACCATCTCTTTGACTCTAACTCTAATTCTCCATGTAACCCTAACAATAATCCTCCCTGTAAACCGCCCTCCAATTCTCCATGTAACCCTAACTATACCTTCTTTGTATCGATATCTCTGATCCTCCATGAAACACCAGGACTATTCCTCCCTGCAACCCTACCTCTAACCCTCCATGTAACCCCAAACCATCTCTTTGACTCTAACTCTAAGTTTCTCTGTAACCCTAACACTAATCCTCCCTTTAACCCTAACAATAATCCTCCCTGTAAACCGCCCTCTAACTCTCCATGTAACCCTAACTCAAACTTCTTTGTATCCATATCGCTGATCCTCCATGTAACCCCAGGACTATTCCTCCCTGTAACCCTACCTCTAACCCTCCATGTAACCCCAAACCAAACCATCTCTTTGACTCTAACTCTAAATTTCCCTGTAACCCTAACACTAACCCTACCTCTAACCTTCCACTCTAAAACAAACCATCTCTTTAACTCTAACTGTAATTCTCTATGTCACCCTAACAGTAACCCTCACACTTTCCCTGTAACTTGAAGTTTAACCCTTCTTGAAACCCACATACTACCCTAACACATATCCATCCTGTAACAAAAACTTTCTCTTTCAACACTCACACTAACCTTCCCTGTAGCCACAACTATACGACTGGACAGATGTCTGCAGGCTGAACACGGGACATCTTATAGATTCCTCCATCCATGCTGTTTTCTTTCGATTAAAGAAGTTTCCACCCAGCTTGACGTTTGTCAAGCTGAATCATGCTGGCAGGGCCACCCACTGCTTGAATGTTGTCCGATTCAGGCAAAATCCCAACACTAATCCTCACAAAAGGAAAGCCTGTCTTTTGAAAAACATGTGGAATGCCATTGCTGATCTCCTGAAAATGTCAAATCCCTGGTTGTTGTGTGGATTTCTGCAATAATGCACTGTTAATGTTGATGGTATACCCCCCTCTCTATTGGGAGAGATTTTCCTGTCTTGACTGGATGTTAGGGGAAATCTCTCCAATAGAAACACAGATGGTAATAAAAACTTAAAAAGTCTACCCTTCCCTACTTTAAAAAACTAAATAAAATGTATGACTTGAGTTGGACTCAAAAAATGTAGGGATAGAGGTTTCCAGGTTTCAAGATCTGTGGTCAGCTGTTGCTAGATTTTTATAATGTAAAATAATTCTGACTTGGCCTAAAGTGATGCTAGATATCAGGAATGCTGAGTTTCAGGCACCTTGTGATGCCTGAAAGTACCTATTTTAGGCCTCATGTACTCATGAACTCCCCTAGACGTTTAGTTCTCCTGGCAGCAGAAAAATGCTAAATGCGGCAAAAACGTTTGTAAACACGGTGCTGCGTTTAGCTGTATTTAGCACTTGGACGTCTATTCATTTAATTGGCCAGAGTGCTTTCCATTGACATGAATAAACAATGAAGTGCTAAATGCGGCTAGCGTTCCTCTCCTGAACGCGGTTCTTCTGCATTCAGGAGAGGAACGTTTAACTGCCCCTAAACTCTTCTGCTCCTAAACTCTGGTAAAAACCTTTGTGTACATGGACAGCATTACTGAGTTGCGTTCTGGGGCTTTGGCAAAAAACCCCAAAAGTTCAGTTTAGGAGCAGCAGTTTGCATGAAGCCTAAGTCTTCAAATTGACCCCTGTGTCTCTGAGGAGCCTCTAGGGATTCTATCTCCATACTGTACATGGGGCCTCCACTTGCGCTGCTGCTGCTGAAAAAAGAAAAATCCAAAAAACAAATCCTTCGATGTTGATTTACATCAACATTTCCAGATACTAGCCATAGACTATACATGGGGCCTTCACTGCTGCAAAAGAAAAAAAATCCTTCCATATTTGTTTACTTCAATGTTTTCTGCAGCCTTGGTGGTGGTGATGGGGGGGTCCAGAAACGCTAGACGGTGCCTCTTTCTTATGTCTGCAAATCATTAGGTCTTGTATTTTTATTTCTCTGAATATTGGTATGTATCCCTTTAAAGATGATTTTTAGAGGCTCCATCCTTCTAATAGGGTGTAAGGGTTGTTATGGAAACATCTCTCCAAAGCCAGTATTTTTCTCGCTAAAATGAATTTTCTATATGTACAGGAAAAATGTAAACGTGGAACTTGGAAAGACAGAGAGAGAAAAGGGTTTGTGTTTGCTAACAATATCTGTTTGAAATGGGAGATGATGATGCGCTCAGGGGCAAGCGCCTGGGAACATGGCATTGTTTACGACAAAAGTAATACATATTTAATACAATGCCACAAAATTCCAATTCTGTGTTGTGCACAACGTGGTGAACATTTACAGTTAGTGTCAGCTGTTTCTTCCATCATACCAAAGTGAAGAACAGTTTTTACAGGGGCTCATGGTCCCATGGGTGGGCTACACCCGTGTTCCATCAGTGGTTTTTAATATAAACCATTGTAGATCATTAAAATGTAAAATAAACAAAAAACACTTTTGCATACCAGTCCCTAAACACAGGTACCACAAGGTGCCTGAACATATCGCTAGCTGTTAGCAAAGGAAAATTAAAGCAGTACTCCAGCTAAAAATAACAAGGTGAAATGAATAGCCTATGAAATAAAGCTATTCTATGAAATACAAAAGAAGATTTTACTGCAATGCTCACCTTCAATCCAGAACTGTACGTGCATAGCTTTCCCTCTACCACTAGATGCCCCCTTTCCCCAGCTAGGATCTTTCAACTCACTTCTCCTGAGCCCAGGCCAGAAGTGAAGCAACACAGTGCCTTCCTCTGGATCAACTGTGGGTGTAGGATTATACCTTTTTTTTTTTAATGGTTGAACTGGATGGACTTTTGTCTTTTTTCAGCCAGACTAACTATGTAACTATGTAAATTGATCCAGGGAATATCCGATTGCCTCTCCTGGGGATCAGGAAGGAATTTTTTCCCCTGCAGGAGCAAATTGGGTCACGCTTTGCTGGTTTTTTTTTTTTTTTGCCTTCCACTGGATCAACTGTGGTCTAGGATTATAACTTTTTTTTTTTATGGTTGAACTGGATGGACTTTTGTCTTTTTTCAGCCAGACTAACTATATAACTATACAACAGTGGTGAGAACATCTTTACACTCTTCTCTTCTCTCCCTTAGCTTATCAGTATGCTCCTTGTTAGCACATCAATTGATTGCTTTCTTGCGCTGCTTCTTCCTCTCATACTCTGATCTTTGCTGTGCATGAACTGCAGAAGGCTGATACCAAGTTAAACCTAGCTACCAGGGGCGGACTGACCATTTGGAAACTGCCCGAGGGCCCAGGGTCAGTAGGGGGCCCCATGAGATGCCCCTGGTACCTTTTTCATAGGCTTTTTTGAGTTTGGACAAGGACACAGGGGCCCCATGATCCCCTATTGCCCGGGGGCCCCGTGAGTTGTCAGTCCGCCCCTGCTAGCTACATAACCATTTGCCCACCAGAAGATTCCCCCCCCCTTCCTGAACAGGCCATTTTCTGTGATACAGCGCTACGTTACTTTAACTGACAATTGCTCGGTCATGCAACTCTGCACCCAAATTAAATTTACATCCTTTTTTCCCACAAATAGAGCTTTCTTTTGGTGGTATTTGAATGCCTGTGCCGTTTTTATTTATTGTGCTATAAAAAAAAGACCAACAATTTTGAGAAAAAAAGCAATATTTTTGACTTTTTGCTATTAAACATATCCAGTAAAATAATTAAAAAAACCAAAATGTATTCTGCAACATGTCTTCGCTGAAAAAAATCCCAACACATGTAAATTCATTGATTTACGTGAAAGTTATAGCGTGTGCAAATGGTGGTATTTATAATGGGATTTAGTAATGGTGGTGATCATCAACTTGGTGGGAATTCTGACACTGGGGGGTAACTGACTTGGTGTCACTGACATCCCCAGTGACACCAATACAGTGATCAGTGCTAATAAAAAGCACTGACATTGTACTAATGACACTGGGCAGGAAGGGGTTAACATGCGGGGCGATCAAAGGGTTAACTGTGTGCTGTTTCACTGTGGGCTGTGTTAGTGCTTTACACTCTAAGCACACTGCTTTGCATGGCTCTGCTAGGTAACGTTATAATGTGCTAGCATGCATCGCATACTAGCACAATTTGTTTACAAACATTTTTATTAGAAGATAAATAACATAAACAGCACCGTTTCATGAAGTATAGCATACATCAAGAAGAAGTCACATACGTAAAAACTCCCCAGAAATTTAGAAAGAGAAAAAATGCATGTACATACATGAGGTAGACAGTCATATATACTGAACAGTCACACAACCAACAAAGATACATTGTCAATAAATCTATAGTGACCCATCATTCCAATAATAGATGCTGAAATGTCTTCCAACCATCCCATTTTCTGTTGAATATCTGCATCCTGTCCAGCAATGTATATTGAATGCGTTCCATGAGCATTACCATGTCAACTCTACGCAACATAGAGGATAAAAGTACAGCTGGATACTTCCAATGGAGAACAATGGCCCATAAAGCAGAGACACAGATAGTATGAATAAGCCTCATTGTGTTAGTCGGGATCCCCAAAACAGGAGATCCCAATAAACAATTTTGCAATGACAGATTTACTGGAGTATCCGCCAAAGCTGAGGCCACTTCAGAAACTTTGCGCCAGATCAAAGAAAGACCAGGGCACGCCCAAAACATATGCACCAATGTACCAGTAAGGCCACAACCCCTAAAACAGAGGTGCGACGTTCCTGAAAGCATGTTATGTAGTCTAGAGGGGGTATAATACGAATGGGTTAAAACCTTAAGGGCCGTCTCCCAAACTGAGATAGACCTAGATCCCTTACATATATTATCCACCATGGCTTACCAGTCCTCTTCCGAAAATGTGAGACGCACCTTAAAACTAAGCCCTCCAATGGCACGCTGTCACCGCTGACAGGGCTTCCATCTTCACCTGGAACTGGAATCAGAATTTTTGAACCACCAACAGCCATTTTAATTCTAGAGATCAACATTACAGAATCATTTATTCCCTGGAAAAAAAATTTGTAAATATTGTACCCACAAGTTCCAGTTCGAAAAGGGATCAGCTGTTTATAACTCTGGAATTTTTGAACCACCAACAGCTGTTTTAATTCTAGAGATCAACATTACAATATAATTTATTCCCAGAAAAAAAAAACTAAATAATGTAATGTAAGTATGTTCCTGGTAAAATTAAATTGCGCTTAAGCCCCCATTTCAACAGAACCACTAACAGCCATTTTAAATCTAGAAATCAACATTATATTTTAATTTATTATCAGAAACAAAACACCCCATATATTGTAGTGAGTATGCTCCCAGCTTTAATTTATTTGCGCTCAAGCCCATATTTGAATAGGAACCCCATCAGTCATTTACAAATGTACAAATCAACATTATAGTATAATTTATTCCTAGAAAATCACCCCAAAAATTTTAGCTACTATGTTTCCATCATTAATTACATTGCACTTAATCCCTAAATTGAACAGGACCACCAACATCCATTTTTAAATCTAAAAATCAACAATACAGTATAAGTTATTGCCAGAAAAATTCCCCAAATATTGTAGTGAGTACATTTCCAGTATCAATTATATTTCACTCAAGATCCAATTTGTATTGGCACTCAACAGTCATTTGTAACTTTGGAAATCAGAATTACAGTATTATTTATTCCCAGAAAAAAAAAAAACAACACAAATATTATTGTGAACATGTTTCCAGTGTTAAATAAACTGTGCTTAAGCCCCAATTTGAACAGAACAACCAACAGAGATCAACACTATAGTGTAATGTATTCCCAAAAAATAAAATGTAAATATTGTACAGAATACAGATATAATTTATTTGCACTCAAACCCTAATTTAAACGGGAACCCCACCACTTTTTTAAATTGTGCAGATCAACATTATAGTATAATTTATTCCCAGAAAATCACCCCAAATTATGTAGTGCGTATGTTTCCAGATGTAATATATTTATGCTCAAGTCTCAATTCGAATAGGAAATCTAACAGCCATTTTAAATTTAAATATCAACATTACAGTAGCATTAATTCCCAGAAAAACACCCCAAATCTTGGCGTGAGCATGCTCCCAGATTTTATATATTTGCACTCATGCCACATCTTAAAGTGATATTAAAGGTTTTTTTTTTTTTTTTTTTTTATTAAAAATAAAAAAGATGTTATAGTTGCCTGCTCTGTGCAGTGATGTTGCACAGAGAGGTCTCTTACCTCCTATTTTCAGGAGTACCCTGCCAGCATTGCCCGTTCCTCCTCTCCTCTGGGTACCTTCTCAGCAAGTCAAGTGCTAAGGGGGGCACCCTTACCTGCAAGCTCCTAAGCTGGGCTGTGTGTGTCCATAGATACACAAAGTGCCAGTAAACCATGCCCCCAACTCACTGCTCAAAGGAGTTTGACTAACAGCAGCAGGAACCTATGGCTCTTACTGCTGCTTGTGTCTCTTGTGGGGCCATAAAGAGAAAGGAGTGGTGATACAGGGACGGAACCATTTGGAAATTCAGGCACTGCCCGAGGGCCCGGGGTCAGTAGGGCCCCATGAGATGCCCCTGGTACCTTTTTCATAGGCTTTTTTGAGTTTGGGCAAGGACACAGGGGCCCCATGATCCCCTATTGCCCGGGGCCCCATGAGTTGTCAGTCTACCCCTGAATGGACCAGCACTGGATTGGTAACTCAGTCAAGCAAGTGTTTGTGAATTGGAGGGTGTAGAGTAACACCTTCTTGCCTGGCTGTCAATCTGCAGGGACGCTCCTCCTTCTGAGTGGACATCATATGACTTCCTGTCAGAAGGTGCCGCTCACGTGTGATCTGTGTGATGACAGATCACTACACTGGCCCACTGCCAGTGTCATGTGACCACTGTGGCCAGTCACAGCAGATCACATGACAATTGTACACAATGGATGGCTTCCTTTCATGTCATCCATTGTATACAATTGTGTTGTTAGCTGTGATTGGTAACAGCAGTCACATGGTACAGGCAGGGCCAATCACAGCCCATCTGTACCATGTGATGAGCTTTGCCCATTCACAGCTAATCACAACAAAAGACTGAATGAATCAGTTTCATTCAGTACAAATGTTTGCTAATATCAATGAAATACATTGGTATTAGCAATCATAATGTGACTCGTGTCACAGTGTGTTGGAAGAAAAATGATTAAAAAAAAGAAAAAATAATATAAAAAAGAAAAAAATAAGAAAAAATTAAAAAAAAAAACGATTATTATTTTTTTTTAACATACTGTCCCCAGTCAGTGTCTCTGATCACCGCCACACCAGTTATATGATAACGCTGTACTGGGCTTGGGTACCATACGTTAAAAAAAAAAATTGTGAATTTTTGTTTTTTTTGATTTCTTCATTTTCCAAACAATTGTGACTAAAAAATACAACTTAAAAAAAACTCACCATGCATCTTACCAAATACATTGGACTGCCTATTTTTTCAAAAATGGGTCATCTGCAGGGTATTTGTACTATCCTGGCATTTTCGGCATGAGATTGGTCGTCAGTACCTCAGGATTGATTGATTGTCAGATATATACAGTTGTGACCAAAATTATTCAACCCCCACTGAAATTGAGTGTTTTGGCCAGTTTGACATTGCTTTTGATCATTCAGTCATCTTGCTTACATTTACATTAAAGAGGCACTTGTAGGTCAGACAAATATAACATAACAGTTATAATGAAATAACCACAAATGTCTTTTCTGTGCTCACAGCATTATCAGTTTTATTCAACCCCCAAGTGACATTCAATCTTAGTACTTAGTACAGCATCCTTTTACAGTTATAACAGCTTTTAAACGTGAAGCATAGCTTGACACAAGTGTCTTGCAGCGATCTACGGGTATCTTCGCCCATTCTTCATGGGCAAAGGCCTCCAGTTCAGTCACATTCTTAGGCTTGCGCACTGCAACTGCTTTCTTTAAGTCCCACCAGAGGTTCTCAATCGGATTTAAGTCTGGTGACTGCGATGGCCACTCCAAAATGTTCCAGCCTTTCCTCTGCAACCATGCTCTAGTGGACTTGGAGGTATGCTTGGGATCATTGTCCTGTTGAAAGGTCCAACGTCTCCCAAGCCTCAGGTGTGTGACGGACTGCATCACGTTTCCATCCAATATCTCCTGGTACTGAAGAGAATTCATGGTACCTTGCACACGCTGAAGCTTCCCTGTACCTGCAGAAGCAAAACAGCCCCAAAGCATGATTGACCCTCCACCATGCTTCACAGTAGGCAAGGTGTTCTTTTCATCATAGGCCTTGTTCTTCCTCCTCCAAACATAGCGTTGATCCATGGGCCCAAACAGTTCTAATTTTGTTTCATCAGTCCAGTGTGTCGTCTTATTGTCTGGGCTGAAACTTCTGTACCCACATCTGACAAATCTTTTCTCAGTTCCTCAGCAGTCACACGGGGACTTCTCTCCACTCTACGCTTCAGGTAGCGCACAGCAGTCGAAGTCAGCATCTTCTTTCTGCCACGACCAGGTAGCGTTTCAACAGTGCCCTTTGCCTTGAATTTGCGAATGATGCTTCCTAAGGTGTCTCTTGGTATGTTTAACATCTTTGCAATCTTCTTATAGCCATTGCCCTTCCTGTGAAGAGAAATCACCTCTTCTCTTGTCTTCCTGGACCATTCTCTTGCCTTCACCATGTTTGTAACCACACCAGTAAATGTCTAGAAGGAGCTGAGTATCACAGTCATTTTAAAGCTGCCTAATTGGTGCTTATTATGCTTGATTGCTGCTCGGTGACATCCACAGGTGTTTTCAATACCTGATGGAAAGCACCTGTATGAACCTCTGTTCTTCAGAGTGGTAGTCTTTAAGGGGTTGAATAATTGTGGCAATGAAGAAACCACATAAGAACCATTTACTACTGTATTACATAAACAATTGATGTCATTTTAGTTGCATTTGGGTAGTTACAACGTCCTTGTAGGATTTGATTCTGAATACAATTCCAAATGTACACTATAGTCCCTAAACCCCTTTACAGCATTGGGGGTTGAATAATTTTGGTCACAACTGTATATACCTTGGTTTGCGAACTCTATTGCTTTCCTACAGACTAAATACTATACACTAATTTGGGGTATTTTCACCAAAGAAATGTAGCAGAATACATTTTGACCTAAATTTATAAAGAAAGGTTATTTAATTGCAAAATTTGATAACAGATTAAGGAAAAATTTTGTTTTTCAAAAGTTTCCTATTTTTGTTTGTTTATTTAGCAAAAAAAAAACTCAGTTGTGATTAAATACCACTAAAAAAAAAAAAATATGTGTGAAAAGAATGATAACTTTTTTTATGGGTACAGTGTTGCATGACTGCCCAATTGTCATTTAAAGTGCGACAACACTGAAAGCTGAAAATTGGCCTAGGCAGGAAGGGGGTAGAAGTGCTGGTATTGAAGTGGTTAAGTAGTTGTTTTTTTGTTTTTTTTTTTACCTTAATGCAGAGAATGCATTTAGTTAAAACATTTTAATTTTAGAACTACTTTAAAAAGATAATCCAACAGCCATTTTTAAATGTACAAATCAACATTATAGTATAATTTATTCCCAGAAAAAACGCCCCAGATATTGCAGTGAGTAAATTCCCAGATTTGCTTTATTTATGCTCCAGCCCCAATTTGACCCCAACAGCCATTTGTAATTGTGTAAATATTGTAGTGAGTATAGTTTAAAATTTATTTACACTCAAGCCCCAGTGTGAAAAGGACCGTGAGTATGTGCATGTGTCTTTAAAACATTTTTTTTTAGGCCTCTTTGTCAACAGGGCACAAAACAGCCAGATTTTAATAAAATAATAATTTAAAAAAATCAGCATTCTAGTATTTTAATTTCACTATAAGTAGCCCCCAAATGTTGGAATGAGGACAAGTGCGGTTTGAAAAAAACAGTAACTATTGTAATCTACTTTGTTAACATGAACCACAATGATCAGCTTTTCATGACTAGAATCAACATTTCAGTATATTTATTTTACTGAAAAAAGAACCCAGAACATTTAGGTAGGTACATACACAGTCTTTAAACACTTTTACTAAACACATCAATCACCCTTTTGCAGTTTTTTTTTAATTTATCTTAAATATTTTTGAGGGGAGATAATACAGATCATATAAACAAATTTACCCTCTTCAGAAAAAATTACCCCCCATCAAAAAAATCCCCCCAAAAAACAAATACGAGTACGGCAGCTTAACAGCTGTGACACACACAGAAAGATAAATCTGTCAGGAAAAATGTATTGGAATGTCTGGATAGTCTGCTATAGTAGAGTGCAAAGACACTCTGCTTGCAGTAAAAATGTATGCTTTCTGCAATGACCACCAGCATGTAACTATCCCTGATAACACTCAAAATCTCTCAGAGTCTGCTGTAACACTTCAAATAAACTCTAAACCCCGGGTTAACACTATGCGGTGCGGTGCAGCCATATTAGTTTATAAACCAAAAATTATAATTTTTAAACATTTTTTTTTTACATTTTTATTTTATTTTTTTATATTATTATTTTGTTTTTACATACGGTCACCCTAGCAGTACAGTGTCACCATGGTGACACTGTACTACTTGTGGGGGGTGATGAAGATTTTTATTTTTTTTTTACACTGATTGCTTTTACACTCATATAGGATGTAAAAGCAATAATTTCTCTTTCTCTCTGTCTGCATTCTTGCAGCCATTGAGAACTACTGAGTGAGCTGTGATTGGTCATAGCTTGTCACATGGTACAAGGCTGTTGTGAATGGCCTTGTACCATGTGACCTCTGTTCACACGTAGTAAGCAATGATGTCACAATGATGTTCCGGTTTCTGGCTTCTTTGGCAACGCTAATGAGGGGACAGGTGCAGGAGAGGTCCGCTCTCCTCCGCTGAGAGCAGACACCCTCTCTTCAAGGAGTAAGTACTGTATACTGAGTAATGTATATCCCAGCTCCCATGTACTCCATTATAGTGATATGACATGTATACAGTAATGTATATCCCAGCTCCTCTGTACTGCATTATAGTGATATGACATGTATACAGTAATGTATACGGTGACGCATTTCCGGCGTGGCAGCCATTTTGGTACACCTGTGTATTCAGCTGTACACCCACACAGACATATCCTCATCTGAAAGCATGAGGTTTTTTGGACTGGCTGCTACGTAAGTGCAAATGCTTAATGTTATCTGTCCCTATGGTATAAATAAAATTTACTGCACTATGGGAGGATTCATTTTGTCTCATTTGAGAGATTGATGCTGCAATACTTTCCTGGAGAAGAGCCAGAGTGGGAATACTTATTTCTGAGAGAAACAACCTTTGGAGTGATAGTTTTTGCTTGGAGGATCCGTGAGGGGGATCCACTACTGCTCTTTGATCCGCAAGGGTCGAAGGGATGAGGTGAGAGGCTTATACAGATGGTGGTTGGATTCTCAGATTTATATACACTCAGAGATCTGCACGAGTTTCACCTATGGTCACTAACAGTAGTATTTGGAAGCACCCGTTTACTGTTTGGTCACCAGCAATATTTATTGGACTTTGAGAACACTGTTGTTTGTACCATTTTAATGGTTATTTCACTTCACAAGAGGCACGTG